AATATAGATTTGCAGGGCTAGTTAATGAGTATTACTGTAGTGTGAGACGGGGTTTAGTATATTTGACATGACAGTTCTAGAGAATGAAATCTCCGATTTCATGCAGTAGATCGAGCTACACTCCACCCGCTGACATCATCAAGTGCTAGTTCTCCCACTGCATCCACCAACTCTAACCCACCACACTTCATCCCGATATCCTCACCCACCCAACCCTCTATCTCACCAAAACTATCAACTCCGCAAGAGAACCTAAAAACGGAGAAGAGAAGAGAAGACAAGAAGAAAAATGATCTCCCTCCCACAGCACACCCCCAACGCCAGCTCCGGCCCCCAAGACCAACTCACCACAGCCGCCAATCCCACCGCAACCTCGGCCTCTGCACCGCCGCCGCAGCAGCACCAAGGCCAACAACTGCCCCTGCACCACCCCCGCCTAACAATCCAATACTGCACGCAGTGCAAATGGATGCTCCGCGCCGCATACGTACGCCCCCCGCCCTTACCCCCCCACCCGTCCCAAATTCCCGACCAACAACCGCTAACCTGATTGCATCTCCGGGGGGTTGAATCCCCGGGGAGGGTTGGGGAGAAGGACAGTTCGCGCAGGAACTCCTCTCGACGTTCTCGACGCAGCTGGGCGAGGTGGCGCTGCAGCCGGCGACGGGGGGTGTCTTCACGGTGACGCTGTATCATCGGCGGGGGGTGATGGGAGAAGAAGAAGAAGAAGAGGCAGAGGGGAACGGACAGGGACAGGGACAGGGACAGGCCGATGCAATCACCGAGACGGTGCTGTGGGATCGGAAGCGGGATGGCGGGTTTCCTGGTACGTATGTTGTTTTGTTTCGACGTCCCGTTCCCCTGGCGGGGATGTGGTGATCTACTTCTACCGGGGGGGGTGATGGATGAACTGTTACCTGGAGACTGAGACTGAGACTGAGACTGACAACCTTCAAGAAGTCAAGGTGCTTAAATCCCTCGTGCGGAATGTGGTGGATCCCGGGCGGGACTTGGGACATACCGATCGGGCGTTGAGGAAGGCCCGCGAGCAGCAGCAGCAGCAGCAACAAGAAGAAACTCAGGAAAAGGAGAAGTGTGAGGATTGTCAATAGACCAATCTATATCATATATAAGTAGTATCCAGAGTCTCAATCAATTCGAAAAAGGTATAACGGCAAGAAAGTGGAAAGTAAACCAATCGAGGAATGAATATCCATTGTCATGCAATACAGTAAAGAGCACAAGTCCTCCCTCCTCCTTGTAAACGCCATCTCACGCCCCGACTCTAATGGTGCCCCAAATATCCATGAGCCTGTGTCCTCTTGTATAATATAAAAACATAAATAAATGCAGAAGAAAAATTTGGTCCAGACAATGGTCAGATGTAACAGAAAAGAAATGTTAAGTGAAGGCAGTTCGCAAGGGTTTACACTAAGTACCCTCGCATGCCAGCACCGGAAGGCAATGGTCCCTCCGATACTAGCATATCGTCAAGATCGTCATATATCGGGGAGTCATGAACCCAAGCCTCTGTGCAAGCAGAGACACTGAGCCCAACCGCCCATATCACCAATCCGTGTCGTCAATCATGCAATCCATCGTAAATCCAAGTCATCAGCTGAATGTCACCGTATGCCCATAACCCAAGTTCCCCCTTGATTTTCCATGAACACCTTGAAATCAAATCGCAGAATAACGCCAAAGAAGCAGAAGATCGTGTCAGGTCTCGCCACTCAGCTCGTGCTGGTGCGAATGATGCGGCTTGCGTCGCCAGAATGCCAGTCGGAGACGACTCCGTCGTTTTACCAGTTTGAAGGGGCCCGAGTGACGCTCGCCAGGCTCGCCCCAAGGACGACCTCGTCCATCTTGTTTGGAGCTGCCCGCGGTCGTCGTGGATTGCCCAGAGCTGCCGGTGCCATTGCCCGCAGGCGATCCCAAGTGCTTGCCCCCAGCGTCGTACGTGTGTGGGTCGGATGCCCGACGGTTGACCGGGTAGACGGTACCGGTAGACTCATGATTAGAAGTCGCAGGTCGGATGTTGGCCCGGCTCCACTCTTCATTGTCGCTCCGGCTGACACTTTCCCGAGTAAATCCTTTCTCGTCACTGTCCACCGTCAGGAAGCTGGTCGCATTGGTAGCCGGAGAGATCGGGGTCATGTTGTTGCTGTAGGTGCTGACGCTGTGGGTCCGAGTGCAGCTGTTCCGTTGAGAGCTCGATAGGCCAGACGTGCGTCCAGATGAGCCAGTGTTCGCATGGCGACGGCGACACCCGGTAGGGGCTTGTCGTGAACTGCTGGGGCGTTCCGCCACGCCTTCAATCGAGCTGTTGCGGGCACTAGATGGCCCGGACGCCCCGCCATTCGTGGCGGACGAATTAGCCAGGACAACTGTGGCCATCATGGTCGGGTCGGTCGACGAGCGGTTTGTGTCCGAGGCTCCGTCAAATGTCTCACTCGGCCGTGCTGAAGGCGTGGTGGAGAAGTCATGGCTACTGGTGCGTGATTCTCCGGGAGTGGAGACCGTTGCATGGTCGAACACAGCACCGGATGATTTGCGTGAGTCTATCTCCGTTGGGAACGGACTGCCTGTGATGTCCATAGACGGACCAGGTGTATCCGGTGATACCACGGGGCTGATGTTGTTCTCATTGTAGTCACTGGGTGGTTCATCCGAGTTGACGGGCGAGTGCACGGCCCCGAAGTAGTCGTCCGGAGCGGACCGCGGGGTATGTTCGCTGGTAGGGAAGGCGGGCTTGACCAGAGTGTCGGGGCCCGGGGTTGCCACCGGGGCGCGCATACCCTTGAGACTTCGAATTGGACTCTGCGTGCGCGGAGAAACCACCTCATCTGGACGCAAATCTAATAACAGTGTTTGTCGGCTCTTCTCTCGGTCGGCAAGCATATGCCATCTGAACTGGTTTCCTCGAATATGGTCCACCGTAAATTTCAAGTCAGGAAGGATATCCGATACCCCCTCGAACAGAGGTAGCGCAAAGATCGACATGAAGCCAATCTGGCCGGTGGCAAGTTTGTAGATGTTCCCGAGCTCTGGGGGCCCGCCAAACAAAGCAGTCTCCATTCCCACCTCTTTCTCCATTTCGCCCTGATTGGCGAACTCCTCCTGTAGGATCTGGGTCCACTTTTCTGCAACATCCCACGGCCGCGCCACATTGCTGATGTCGGCACATTTGATCAGCAGACCGCACACGAGGGTCTTGTAAAGCTCCAGATCTTGCGGCTTCCACCCGTCCGTGGTGCAATCATTCTCATGAAACCGCTCTTGCAGCGACCCTAATCGTTCCATGAACTTCTGGTGAACGCCCATATCCGTTGCTAGGATGGAGCTGATCAGCAATTTGCGGAGCTGGCGATCTTTGAAAGCGGCCGGCCAGTACCGACGCAGGATTTGGGAAAAGGCGGCGCAGTGAAACGCCTCCAAGACGGAGTTGTCGTTATAGAGTTGAGCCAGGGGGGCATTCAGCTTGACCAAGAAAAAGTTGTTTACGCCCGGGTGACCGACATCGTGACCAATTGCAGAGATCAGCAAGGTCAGAGTATCAAACGGCGTGAGCAGGGATGCAATCGGGCACTTGTCGCCCGATGCCGGGCCGACCGATCGATAAGGAGGCAGCGCGCCTATATGGAGCAAAAAGCAGAAGACGGACTGCAGAACGTCTATGGCATGGCGGAAATTGTGGTATAGCACGAAGGAATTATATGAGGCGCGGCAGGCAAGGAGGAACGTCCGAAGTTCACCTAGAGAAGCTCGTTGATCAGCTGGCAGGGCCTTTTGACAAGTCTGCAGAAAAGGTCATGCACTTACCCGGTGTCAGTTGCCACTCTCCCAGGTCAGGCACACTTAAAGCATGTTGAAGCATCTCAAAGGCTGCCAGGACCAACTCATCGTCAGAGAACCCGTGAGCGGTGAAGCTCCACTGTCCGATCTGTTCTCTAACGAGTTCTGCGCGCTCCGCGCGTACATCTAACTCGCGGTCCTGGAACTCTTCAATGACCTCTTCTGGATTGCAAATGCCTTTCATGAGCTTCGAAACCATCGCCTCTCGCAGGTAAGCATAAGGCTGCTCATCGTGCACCCCCACCCACGAGTGCTTTCGCGTTTTCTTCCTCGACAGGAAGCGCGCGGATTCTCGCAAGGCAGTTTTACGGGTCCGGTAAGCATGGACAACCAGAGCTTGCGCTCGACAGCTGTCCAGCGGGGTTACGAGGACGTCGACAGCACCGGCATCCAGGCATTTGGAAATGTGTTGCGGGTCGGGAAGGGTGGATATACTAGGTGCTTGATCGATAGGGGCACTGGTAAGGTCGCCGGACGGAGGGCGCAGGATGGCAACAGGCACGATCAAATTGGGCAAATCCTGCACTTGGATGTCGGTTGATAATCCGGACAGCAATTTCAGATCATATGCCCCCTCCCAGTTCGAGGAAAAGGTGAATCCACGGCGCAGCGACGCGGGCGAGGGAGGCGATACGTCTGCCCACGAGCCACGACTCGCTCGGCGGCGATGTAGGGTCGGTTCTTCTCCGTGCAGATCTATGTCGAAAAATGCAAAAATCGGCATATATTTGCTACCCGCGCCGTCGCTCAACTCGGCTAGTTTCGTTGCGATCGACGCGCCGGCTTGACAGAGATAGATACGTTTACAAACCCCCAACAGCACTCGGACGTCCGATCGAAGCGACTCCGGTTCTTCGAGCAGGAGGGCTTGCGCATCCGGGTCCGTTACCGGGTCCAGGGTGTTGTGATCAACCCATCGCTCCGACCTGACGCGATGATCGATGTAAATGGCAGAACATTCGATGCGATCCATGGTGTCGTTAGGTATCGTGGTGCCCATCATCCAGAGTCTCGGCTTCGAGGGTCAGGTCTCGGTGTAGTCGCAGGGATGAGAAAGAAGGAGGAAGATATAGCGAAGCCGATCCAGACTTGGGCTCATATGGTAGATGTGAACTGCGAATGGGGGAGGGGATAGTGGTAATAGAGGTGGGAGAGGGGATCTCGAAGCGAAACGAACGGCCGGTAGACTGAGATGAATGAAGCGAAGGAACGTTGTGTGAAGCGAAAAGAAGGGCGGGCTATAGACTGCAGGATCAAGTCACTCTATGCTGGGTTCTGTTTTCTTGCGTCAGCGAAACCTCGAGATCAGGGATACACAGGGTGCGGTGTATGCACGCGACGACCAGAGCCGACAGGGAGTGAGAGGCAGCAACCCAGACAGGCTATAGCGGCGACGAACCAGCGTCATCTGCGGCGCGCACTCGAACAATAGATTTGTTCGCTGCAGCGCGGACCAGCAGGAACATGGTCGATGAAAGCCCTTCCTGCGGGAGGGAGGTGCAGGAGGGGCGAGGAGGCTCCCAAGTGAGACAATCCAGGTCGCTTTGCACCCAACCGCATGCATACCTCCAGCTGGCGGTCGGCTATGGTTGCCACCCGTGCATACAACCCGTTGGCTTTTTGTTCACTCACATTCACAGGTTTCTAGGAAATCTCTCAAGGCAAGAATAAAAATAGATAGGCGAAGGAAGAAGCCCAAACACCAAGAATCAAGACAAAGGACAGTTTGAGTTAAAGATTGAATGACGGGCAATTGCCAGTGGATGGATAGTGGTCTGTTCGCGGGCTGCGGTTGTTAAGGTAGGTTCGTCACCGATGATGGAAAATGGCGCCCGAACCAAGTCGACCCGAAGGGGGAGCCACCGAAATCGCGACACATGCAAGATTCGGCTACAGAGAAGGGAGGAGATTGGCGAACCCAGGAAATAGGGCGAATCTTAGGGCGTCATGGTGGGCCACGGACACGGCCAGGCGGAGACAGACACGGAAGAATAAAAGGTTTGGTTGGTAGTAGATATAGGAAAGTGTGAACAATGAGAGAGTGTGGATGAGTTTGTATATGGGTGGGAGTGTGTGTAGAGTGTGTTTGTGTAAGAGAAGGAAACCAAAGAGAAAAGCAGAAGGGGAGAGAGAGAGAGAGAGAGCGAGAGCAAGAGGGAAGGGGAGGAAGAGAGAAAGAGAGAGATTGGAGCAGGCAGTGAAGGGACGGACGGGGTGGAGAGAGACAAGAAAGCCAGAGCAAGCCAAAGATCGATCGGGACCGACGAAGGGGCCGCACGGGTACTCTTGATAAAGGATTAGGTAACGAGAAGGGGACGGGGCAGCAGGAGCTGTGGGAATCAACTTGCGCCGATGGGCTGGCTCTCTTTGGTAATTGATTTAATTGTCAGGTAATTGATTGATTGATTGATTGATAAGAATGGAGAAGGAGGGGAAGAATAAGGTAGATGAGAGAGATCAGAGATCGAGCGAGGTAAGGGAACAATTGGAGAGGAGGGGAAGAGGGCGATCGAATCGTGTGGGTTGAGGAGACGTCACAAAGGGGACGATTGTGGGGAGAGGAGGTCGTAGTGGTAGATGTAATCTGTAACTTAGTACGCGTGGAGATGGAGAGAGGGGTGGGAATTTGAAGAGTAGGAAAGAGAAGAGAGAAAGAGAATAAGAAAGAGAAAAGAAGAAGAAGAGAGGAAGAGAGGAAAGAGACGAGAAAGAGTAAGAAGTGAGAGTGAAGAGGACGGGAAGTCAGTTCCAGACCTTCAGGCAAAGAAGGGGGCGAGAGAGATTTGGTTAGATTACTTTTTAGTAGTTGTACGGGGGTGGAGAGAGGAAGACTGGAGGGAGGGAGGGAAGAGAGCAATGACGACGTTGTTGGATTGGAAATTGAATGGCTAGCGAATCCAGGGTTTGAACCAAAAGCAGTGCGCAAATGGATGGAAGAGCGATAGAGAAAGAGAGAGAGGGAGGGGGAGAGAGAGAGAGAGAGATAGATAACTACGACTTTGTATAGTTAGTACTATACATCCATACATCCATCCATCCATATGTAGTAACCTTGAAGTACGAAGTATACCAAAAGCTCATTCATGCTCATGATTTGCTTCTTCCCGTCCTTCTTTTGGTTTTCCTCTACCCTTCGCTCGGTCTTCCAGAAGGTCGCGGCACCCGGCGGCGGCGGCTGCGGGCGTCGTCAGAGAACAACTCCGATGGGGCCAGACAATTTGGCCTGATTGACTAATTTCACTACCTCACCTTACTTGCTCCGTACATTCAGCCAGGTTCCTGGCCATGGCTGGTGCTGGTGCTGTACTTGTACTTAAACTAGAAGCAGCATCGGCCCCCCGTCCCAACGACAGAACCATTCCCTCCGTGTATACGATCGGCCCTTCTCCCCCCACTTCCTGGCCTCGTTCAGGTCCGGTCGGGTTGGGTCTAGTTCATCATGGGGCAAGTAGGAGGAGGAGGAAGAGGAGGAGAAGCAGGAGCAGGAGCTGAGAATGACGCTGATTAATATCTGACTAGCTAAATATATCCATAAATATATCCATACCGTATAATTCCAGATATCCATAAATCGGAACCTGCCGGGAAAGAAAAAGAAGTGCAATGCAGCAGTCAACTGGAACACTGAGTAACGACTAAGACGGGGGGAGAGATGCTAAAATTGAAAATTGAAAAAAAAAAAAAAAAAACTCCCCCAAGAAAAAGAAAGAATACACACAGCTACAAGCACACCCACAGTCACACACAGAGAGAGAGCAAAGAGTGGGGCGAATGACGCTTAAGCAAGCCATCTCATTAGTTCGTGTCGTGCTCTTCTAGAATCTCCCGGGCGGAAAATGAGTGGAGGAAAAGGGATTCCATCGCACCACTTAATTTAATTAAAATGAGGCTTTGACTTTCTGGCCTCTCTGTCTTGGGCAGAGTGGGCACGCACTGCAGCGGGCACCTCACAACACAACCACTTGCCCTTCGGTCATCATTATCGTCATCATCATTGGAGTTTCTCGCGACTACTCTCCATATCCATATTTAAACTCCAGGGTTTTTTCTTCCCCCTTCCCTTTCCCTTTGACTAGACTTTTTGAAAGAATTGATATTACATCAACGCCACCCCCCCCCCCCCCCCCCCCCCCCCCCCATGCATAGAACCTACAGTACTTAGTCTAGTGATCGAACGCGTGGTCGATCCCCGCGTGTAAGCGCATGAATCAGAGGGGGAAATGCCGCGAGTCATTGGCAGGTCTTCCAGAACTTCCATTCCACACGAACCACGCACCACACACTACATACATACATGGCCACCATACTCTGACCTTGGATTCAAAGGAGTTTTCAACCTATGTTCGTTCAACGGTCCTCTGGAGTTCGCGTCTGAGGGGACAAATGGAAACGATGCCGAATAGGAGTGGCAAACCATCCAGTGACGTCGATTAAATGTCCATGATGTGATTTGATGTTGTGGTACATAATTCCAACAATGGGAAGCAGATCCGTCCGCCTTGGAACCGCGGGTGAGGGTTGGGGCTGACAAGAAGGGAGAAAGGCTCCTTCAACCGAAACTCTCTGTCTGGGTTTCTTGCCTTCAATTTGAGAGGAGAGGAGGAGATTGGTGGGTGGCTGATGGTCCGCAACAGCATGTGTATTTTCTTATGGGTATGATGATAAGGGGAAAGAAAGATAGACAGGGAAACAGCAAAAGAAGAGAGAGATAGTTACATGCGGTGACACAGAGAGACAGAGCGAGGTGGAATCAATCCACTGGGCGGGACGGGGACAGTTTTATGCAAGGAGCCTCGACCACTGCTGTTCTTGCTGCTGCTGCTGCTGCTGCCCAACAACAACGACAACGACCCTGTCTAGTTAACTTATCTATCTCAAGTCTAACCTCGGATAGTAATTCACCTCACCCTTCCCCAACCCTACTTAAATAGTACTTCATATGTCAACAGCTACTGTGTTGAGTCAGGCATACTATACTAGATTGACTCACAGTCCACACTACCTGAGTGGGGACTATCATACTGCCCAGTCAACCATATGCAAGACATGAACGCGCGTTATGTCTCAAGGGATCGTCAGGCTGGATTTCCCGGAATTATATTTCGGTTTCGCGGCGGCCAATCGACCGAACCCACTTTTCTACTGGCTCCATTCAACTTACTGCACCGGACATCCTCGACCTATGTATCTTCTGCATACAGGTGGAATTTCTAGGATACTCATCCTGCCGACGAACATCCCTGCTGCCTATTTTGTTCCGCAGATTCGGTACGATACTGACTGGAACCTGGAACCCCCGCATCCAGACACTGTACTGGTCTAAGGGGAAAATCTCTCTTTATCATTCGTAACCCGGCCTGGTCGGGTTCAAAAGGATATTAAATAACAAACATTCAGAATGCCAATGCCACAGGAGAGGGAGGCCATTAATCCCTCCCGCGTAGCTTGATCACGCAAACGCAAATGAGAACCTGGTATAGCAAGCACAATGCAAAAGGAGACAAGTAGGACAGAGGTGATGGCAATACATACAAGGAGAGTTCTAGTCCACGCTGATCGCCCGGTTTTACCTTACCAGAAATAGTCCCAAAGTAAATGCAAAGAAGAATGGAAATCAAGACTATGGTACATGGCCTCATGGGTCGGTCTATGGCGGCTTCCTCCAGGACCCTCTCAGGAAAGTAAGTTCTTCAAGGAAGGACTGGCGCTGGCGCCAGAGCCGCCATTCGTCCCACCATTGTTCGGGTGTCTGCCCGTGCCCATCAAATTCGGCCCTCCACCGATGGGCGTTTCATCCGGCTTCACGGGAGGGGTCGGTCCCCGAGGGTCAACGTGGGCTTGGGGTATGGGGGGTGACTGGGCTGGCGCCCCGAGGACCCGATCAACGGGATACACCCGCGGTGGTGGCCCTCCGTTCAATGCGCTGAGCGTGTGAGAGGGTGAACGCCGGACCATCGTGGCCTGAATATCCGGTGGGGAAGCCGAAGGTGCATACGGGCGGGGCCCTGCAGCGTGCGAAGGGCGAGGCGACAGCATCGAGGGCGGCCCATAGGGACTCTGATGGGCGGAGTAGGGCTGGGGCGGAGGAGGGTGTGTGCTTGCCGTATAGCGAGGAGCTGGAGGCGGAGGAGCATGGTGCGCTGGAGCCGGCTGGTAGCCGTTGATGTGGTGCGCTGATGGGGGCGGGGGCCCTCCTCGATACCCAGGCACCGGTAGACCATTGCGCAATCGGCCATCCGCATAATCAGCGGATCGCTGGTCATACCAGTCAGGCCCACTGTGCGAAGGCGTGCCCATCGGTCTGGCAAGAACACTGGGCTGAGCCGGATGGGCGTGATGCGGTCCAGGGCCATACGGGTGGGTATGGAACTCGCGGATTGGAGGATTCGGCAGGACTGGTCGAGAGGCGGGATATGGGGACGGTCGAGGTTCGGGCGATGGCTGAGAGGCGGGCTTCGTGAGGTGGCACTTATGGCATTCCACTAGCGCTTGCGACCCGTCTGCTGACCCCGTACCGTTGTCGGGAGACGCGTAGTCGCCGTTAAGCCTGGGCAGACCAGTTTGAGATGGCTTGCGAGAAAGGTACGGAGGACTGGCCGAAGATGCGCCGGAATACCTTGGCTCATTCAGACCGGCTCCATTCAACAGAGGCGTCCGAAGGTCAGTTGTCCGCCGCGATTTATCGATCGACCACCATTTGGGCGTGCAGGTGCTGGAGCAGCGAGCACACTTTCGGCCAGAATTGCTATCAGTGGCGGGGCGAGGAACATGGTTTTCGGAGTCGATGACCATCTCATCTGCCGCATGCTCTGGTGATGCCGGGATAACCTTGTGATTGTCTCTGGTAGTCGTCGACAGAGGCACCACACCGTTGACGGCCGAGACTCGGCGACTCCCAGGGTTTGTTGCAGGGTGATGCGACGCACCGGCAGACTGTTGTACGTAATTGGCTCTCCGAACAGTCCCAGTCAAGCTTAAGTCCGCTTGTTTGTAGACTTGCGCGTAGCGCTGCAGCGCATTCAAGCCCGCTTCCTCGGTTGGCTCGCCGATTTCATGCACAACAGCGGAAACGGTATGATGGGGACACCAGATTCCGGCCGAAGCAGACCCATACTCATCTCCAAGCCGCACGCTGCTCACGGTATCCCGCCTGGAGCTCTTCACCGGTGTGATATCGAAGCCAAACTTGTACTGCGCCTGGAATGCACACCCAACATGGAAACGGGCGTTGCAGTTGCTATAATGACATTGCACGCATGCTCCTTTGTCTGTCTTGCAGATCTTACATACCTCCCGATACCTGTCCGCAGGAATCAGTCCAAACCCTTCGGCTGGCTCAAGCTCCTTGGAGTTTCCAAACTTGATCTCCGGAGTCCAAACGGCACAAGCGACGTGAACCCAGTTGTTACCGGCAGTTCTCTTGAGCGGCTCGCGCGGACCAATTGGCTTGCCCACATCCTCCTGCCGCTGCCGGTAGAGCTTGATGGCCTCGGTCAGTAATTCTTTCTCGAGTCTCTCCTTCTCACGATCGCGCTCAGTCTTTTTCTTATGTGTTGATCTCGGCGCTTCCATCAATTCATGCTCCGTCCAGGTCACTGGGCACAAGACGCATTCGTAGCGAGTCGAAATCATGGGCTCTCGGTCATTTGAGCACATATCGCAGAGCCATTTGACACAGTTACGTGATGGACTAACACCATAGCAGCCGCGATGAACGGTCAGTCGGCAATCCCGGCAAGACAGGTGCTGGTCACCCATGGGCTCCATCTTGTTGCAGATAGCGCATGGGAGCGTCTTCGCCTTGGGAGGATCAGGCATGATTGGCGAGGGTTCCGGCACCTTCTCGGTCGGTGCTTTCTTCTTCGGCGCAGGCGGTTCCACCGATGTCGCTGTGGAGGTTGTAGCGCTATCTTTGTCCGTGATCCGTCCCTTTTTCTTTGTTGACTCTTGTTGTACCTGAGGATTAGCATTTACCGGAACACCTAATGAAGCTGCCGTAGCCGCTGTGGCACTGTTGATGCTGATTGGGGTTTCGGTTGAGAGAAGAAGCTGGGTCAGGAGCTCCTCGTCTACGCGGCGGCGCCATGACTTGTTACCACTCTGCCCAATCTTCTTCGCAACTTCATCGACACTCTCCCACTGAATGCCATATTTTCTCCACAGGAGAGCGCAACGCAGACATAGAGCCACAGTGAGCTGTGGTCCCTTATCGCGTTGCTTAGAGGAGGGTTCACTAGGTTTTGTTGTGCCAGGCGGGACTCCTGGCGCGCGTCGCCATTGACGTGAGGTTCGTGTAGAACAGAATTTGCACTGAAATCCACGCTTTTTCTCCACCGCTTTCTCGTTATCATACGCCGAGTCGTCGTGATCATCCGCCAAATCATCTACTAGCTTCGCAGCATTGTGTCGCTTGGCTTCTTTCTTGCCCCGCCTGCCTTCGTAGGTTCCCCAGATTTGACGACCGCGCGGGGTCTTCTTCCACATGTAGTAGAACCGGACGACCTGGTAATGCGGTACGGTCCCAACGTGCTTGGTGACATTGCGTAGCTCCGATCCAAACTTGGCAACTCCTTGTTCAAATAGTTTGACTTCTTCGGGGCGCAGGTGGGGTTCCTTGAGGTCCTTGTATTTGTTGACTTGCTTCAATTTCGCAAGTGCCGCTTTGACATCAAAGCTGTTAGAATAGAGCAACTCAAGAGCTTTGTCGAGGAAATTCGTAGAATATCCCTCCACTCCCAAATCGGGAGCTAATGCCTTGGCTTGCTTCATATAATTGTCGATAAACTTCTCCCTTTCGGCAGGACTGAGATTAGTGCCCGGCATGTCGTCTTCTCCGCGGGCTGAAATCTGTCCTGCAGTGGGCATTTTGAACATTAATTCGGCGGTGCGTACTTGCTTTCCCGCCACTGGGACCGGCTCATCCTCACCGCGGCGCACGTAGCCCGCAGGCTCGTCCAGCACCCATTTCGGTCGGTTCGCCTTTTCTTGTTTGGCGGCCTCTATCGCGGCAAGCGTTTCCTTTGACAGCTTGGAATCCTTCCGACCGCTGCCGCCTCTCAAGTATTTCTTCTTGATATCGATCGGTTTGACATACTCCACCGGCCTACCATGCCACGGAATCACCATTGCCTGGTGGCGAGGCCCCAATCGGGAGCTGGCCCGTGGGTATATGCGGTCATCGTAATCAAGGGCGTCTTCGACCCGACAGTGAATTCCCAAATAGCGGTAAGGCCACATCCTGGCCTGTGCCACCTGTTCCTCGGTGGCTGGTCGAACCTCCTCCTCGACAGGGGCTGGGGTGCTGCCTGTGGTGCCGTTCGCGGCGGCGTTGGGATCCTCCTCTTCCTCTTCCACGATTTCCTCTTCGCCTTCAGGGTGCGGCGCCTCACCGAGCAGCGGGGTGTTCCGTGCCTCCAGCTTTCGTTCCTGCGCTCGACTGCATGCTGCGCAGGCCCATGCGAAACCTCGTGCAGGCTTCTTTGTCAGGACAGGTCGAACGCAGTACATGTGATAAGTGTTGTGACAGACAGCACAATCCACCGAGTCCGTACTAAAAAAGAACATTAATGTCACGATCCAGTGATCCGAACGAAAATATTGGGACCTTACTTTGCAGCATATAAACTACACCGTTTACACGTCTTCACGGCGCTGGTTAACTCCTTCCGTCTCCCAATTTCGACCAAGACAAACTTCCAGCGTTCATCCAGGACTTTTTTGACATTGGCGGGGACGTTGATGACCTTGCTTGTCGGAATAACATCGTAATAGCGATGAATGTACCGGTCGAACATCTTGTCGTACCAAAAGCAATCGCGAGTTTTCCTGTATTCGTCGAAGTCCGAAATATCGGACAGGTGGGAGATGTAACATTTTCCACGCAGGGAGGTGAGTGGACAGGTGTCGGAGTGCATTGATGCGAAGACCAATCTCGTATCTGCGACCTTCCGTT